CTCGAATACGCCATGGTCCAGGCTGCTCTGGTGCAGGCAATGACGCGACTTGGCGGTAAGGGCGCCGTTGCCGGCGCCTGCCGTCGCGGATGCGGCCTGTAAATACTTTCCAGAGTCGGATTTTCCCGAGCGGCGGTCAGTCTGCCCGCTGCCGACGGAGGAGGAGGGAGAAGGAGGAGGGGAGCGAGCAGCAGCAGCAGGAGTAGCAGCAGCAGCAGGGAGGAAGGGTAGGCAGGATGCAGCAGCAGCAGCTAGGAGCAGCAAGCAGCAGGGAGGAGGCAGGAGTTAGGAGCAGGGAGGAGGGGAGGGGTGGCGCAGCCAGCAGGAAGCAGGAGGCAGGAGGGGGAGGATTTTGAAAAGCCCCGTGGAGAAGGTAGCTGCGCCAGCTCCCGCCGCGCCGCTCCGCTGCCGAGTCGTCATTCCCTGATAATCGAGGAGATGGGATGAGGAGTGCGCTCGGCTCGACGTCGCGATCCTGGGGAAAGTATGCCGATCCCCGACGCCCCCCGGGCCCCCCCTTGGTGCTGTCGCCACGGCAGGCAGTAGGAACGAAGGAAGAGGCAGGACGGTAACATGCGACGACGCTTCTTTCCGCCGGTGCCAAGAGAGTAGCGGGCGCGAAGTGGCTGCATTTAGCATGGTTGCTGATGCTTTGGCTTGTCGTGCTGATGCTACTGTTTACTTGCTGATGCGTGATGCTGTTGCTCATCTGGTGGCGGCTATGTGCAGACGGATGCTGAACGATTCTAGCCGCCCGTCGGCTGGCACAAGATACAGTAGGAAGCTCTGCTGCTTTTCTGGATATGCATGAATCCTGCTTGCTATCAGGACACGACCTTCACACGACTTTCACATGATCTTCACACGATCTTCACCGACCTTCACAATCTCACACCTCTCCTTGTCCCCATCGATAACTCCTCCTCAACCCAGCTGTGATATCCGTGGACACGGTAGCGTATTCGTTGCTTGCTCGGTTACAAGACGATACCTGAATTACCGATTACCGATACCGAATACCTTTGGATTGTCATTTTCCCGCGTTTCCTGTGTCGTCGTGATGATCTCGGTGTTGTGGTAGTAACAGTTTAGTTCTCGTCTTTCTCTGTGTGTTCTTTGTTCTGCGTGTCTCGCTGTGTGGCTTAGACTAGTCGAGTGTGAACGGAGTGGGCTGCATGCGTTCATAGTTAGCAGACGCGTCGCTGCGGCGACGTCGTCGGTGCGCGAGGATGGGCTCGGCTTTGTTTGGTTACCCGCGCGTCCGGCTTTCGGCCCCTGCCCGGGCGCCACAGTGGCCTTCTCGGCTTGCCCTGTGGGGATGATTGCTTCGGCGGGCCGTCTCTCGTGGGTGGTGTGTATGTGTGGTGTGCATGCGCGGCGCCCCGCTCACCCTCTCCCCCGTGACTTATCCTTCTAGCTACACCCCACCGGCCTTCCGCCTCGACGAAGACATCAGACGTCCTCACCAGGCTCGCCACCGTCAGCAAGATGGGCGTTTTTATCCCAGGCCATGCAGCGTTCCGCCAAATCTAAGGGTAGTTCCAAGCTTGGTTCGAAGCCCACGGCTCTGCGCCCATCAAAGAAAAGGCTTTTCTTTTTGACTAATCCCCCCCCCCCCCCCCCCCCGGAACAAAAAGACAAAACTTCTCGGCGCGGCCCGCTCGCCTCCGCGCCCACCATCTTTGCCGTACGAACAGACCAGGCCCATCACCAAAATAACGTATACAGCGCGACGGCACACTGTCTGCAGCGATGCTCTGTGTGTTGTGTGTGTGTGTGTGTTGTAGTTAGTGCGTGCAGTGCGTCGACGTGGACGTGCGTTCGTGGCGTGTGGTTATGATGTGTGGTTGCGTGCGTGTAATTAGCGAGCGTGTGCGATGGCAGCGTCGCGTCGAACGTGTTTGTGTATTGTTGTGTGTGTTGTGGTTGGATGTGTCAGTGCGTTCTGCCGCTCCCCCCGCGCGTGCGCGCTCCTGCGCCCCGTGCGCCGCTGCCGCGCTCCGCCGTCAGCGCCCCCACCACGCTCCCGCCTTCACGTTGCCGTGCTTCGCTTGAATGCGCGCGGGGGGGTGTAGTGTTGCGCGCTGAAGGTTTGGTGGGTGTAACTCTCGAATGACGGAAGTAAACGTGAGGCAGCGTTCCTCGGCCGCGCAATCCTGTCTATGACGCCTCCGCGACTGACGTCCGCTCTTTATTTCCCGTCGTCAGATTCGCGAGAAAACGCCTCACACCAAACCCTGGCGAGAACACGCCAAGCTAGGCAGCTTGGCGGGCAGCGACAGCGGCTCTCGCGGCTCGCTCACCGGAGGGAGCTTCCAACGCTCCCAAAGCTTCCTAACCCCTGGTAGCCACCCGTAGCGGCTGTGGCGCTCGCGCTGCGTCGCCTTGCTCGACCGTCTCTGCGCTTGATTGGACTGATGTTGGTGGTTAGCAATAGTGATAAATGACGGGTGCATGTCTAGTAGAGTCTTGGGTCTTGGTTTCGCCATGTTTTGCTAAGTTAAGCTGTTCTGAGAAGCGATCCCGATTGAAGAACAAGAATGACGAATCAAGAATGACGATCTTTGTCAATAACTTATAAGATCCTTGATAAATGATTATTGATAAATAATATGCCACGATCATGTGAAAGTAGTAGTGTGTATTAAACGCGGAGTGCGTTGAGGGATGATATTTGGGTTGGCCCACCATAATAAAACTGTTATCAGTGCACCAAGGTATAACAGGTTACTGATATAATTTAAAAAGAAAAGGAAACGAGTTGCTAGCTACTGCGATAAATTACCTAACTGAAGTTAATGATTAAGTTACTTTAATTACGAAAGAACCAACTTTAGGAAAAGATTATTAATTAGAAATGATAATAGAAACATAAGTTGAGAAGTTTATGAGTACTTAGATTAATAAATGGAATACATGATTAAATTCCTCGATTGGATAGCATTTCCTTGTGATCTGTTCGCTAGATCTAACGAAGTGAGCGTCGCGGGGCTCCGTCGTATTTGGCAGAGGGGGACGGCGCGTCGCAGGGGCAGGCGTAAGCGGGGAGCGGGATGCGGGGCCGCAGCATTCCACGGGCTGTCGTGCCTCGCGACCGCGACCGTCCGCCGCCCGGCCCGGCGGCGCGCTCCGCAGGGGGGTCCGGCGACCCATCAGGCCGAAACACCGTAGCGCGGCGCCGGCAGGGCGTTGCAGGTCACGTGTCCGAGGGAGTGTGCGCTTGACAAGCGGAGCCGGGCAGCAGGCCACCAAAGCGGCAGTTCCCGCGCGTCAGCCGGGAAACGGACGGCGGCGCAGCGGCGACGCGCACGCCCCGCACTAGCACGGGCCAGCGGCCGGCGCAAACGCCCGTGGCGGCATTCGGCCGCGCACGTCGAGTTCGTCGAGCGGGTCGGGAGCGAAGCCGGCGCCACCTAGGTGGAACTACTGAGTGATGATGGCGCCACCTAGGTGGAACTACTGAACCGAACACTTAGCACTTGCTTGTTTATTCCAATGCAGCTTTGCACGCGTGGATTCTGTGCTGTGCAGCCGTGTGGTGCAGCCACACAGTGCAGCATACAGCATGTTCTGAGTCCCGATTTGCTACGGTTGTTGTATTTTTGTATAAAACGGTGTACATGTTATTGATTTACGATTTTATGGCCGCTGAAAATAACGGGAGCTGATGTTTCTTACCCGCTGTACATAGTTCTGCGCTGTACATATATAGCCGTCGCGTCCATCGAGATAAACGACAAAAAGCTTGCGTATTTTCTATCGCCGCGGAAACGCTGACGGCCCGCGCACGATGATGCGAGGGTACCCTTCTTCTGTTCCCCCCATGACATGAGAAAGATGTGTCTCCGTCATGCTGCGTGATTGCGGGTCCCGCGTAACGCCTGCATAGAGAGAAGAGAGCTACGAAAGTACGCGCCTCGGAGCGCAGGCCGAAATTTGGGCAGCTGCTTGTGCTTGATATGTTGACGTACATCTCTTACCGCTGGACGACATCGTCGGCCATAGAATCTAGCTCGGTAGGTGCTAGCTAACATGATTTGACGACGATTTTCTCCGGCCATTGGCGTGAGAGAGAGAGACTGCTTATTATAGGCATTCCATTTTCTGTGTGACGTTTTTGAGTTCGCCATTGTAATGGTTGTGGTGAGACGAAAAGTGAAATTTCGCTCTCGCCAAAAAAGTGAAGACATCCCTTTACACTATAGTTGTAACAGTACGGCACGGTATATATTAGACCTGTGCATATTCGTCTATAGATTGCTTGTTGTTAACTAAATATATAGTTTTATAAAGGTATATGATATAATATATATGATGTGTGTTGTGCTGCATATGCAGGTTTCAGTATATATAATATATACGTACATATATATGCAGCTTTGCTGGAGAGCACGCGCCGAGTACCGCACATGGCATTTATTAAGGGGGATCACACATTCTTTAAACACTTCAGGGTTCTCCCCAGACTCATGTAGGGTCTAATATGCTCTCAAATCTAAAGCTTATTTGCAGCATCCCTCAAGTTTTTCCATTGAATCCCACGTGGAGCACCAACGCGCCACTGAATATGCATCACTACGCTGCAGGCATCATTATATACCGAGTTATTCCATCGAGAGAAGTTATATTAGTCGAACTTTTACTGACGACGTTTTCAACCTTTCAAACTTTGCTTACCACCTCCTTCCCGCTCTCTCACCACAAATGTACACAGACAGACAAATGTACAACGACGCCTCACTCCTATCCAATCCCGCCAAAAGTTACGAACATGAACAGACGGCGAGCAAAGACACGCACCCAGAATTCCGAGACAACTCACGCACGCACGAGAGCGTGAGTTTTCGCGCAACCCAGTCAGCTACTAAGACGCCTCCGCCGCGCCTCCTCAGTCCGCGCTGCGGCGGAGGGACCACCCCCCGAGGGGCGGGGCGGGAGGGAGAGGGAGTACCTACCTCTGCACGGGTCGTTCTTGACGAGGAATTCGTCGAGCGCGATCCATCCGCCACCGACGCGCACCATCACTGTGCTGCGCAGTATCCTCACCAGCCGCAGCTTCTGCGAATCGCCAAACTGCCGGGGAGAGAGAGAGACGAGAGAGAAGGTTAATCACACAGTCACATAGGAGCTGCATGGACGGAGAGAAAAAGTCGCACGGAGGGAACGGGTGCTCGCATCGGATAATAGGTGGGAAGATGAGAGAAAAAGTCGCACAGTTAAATAGAAGTCGCACGGAGGGAACGGGAGTTGAGTGACGGTCGCCAGGGGGCGCCTGCGTCGGACGGCGCGTGGGATGGGAGTAGTCGGCAGACGACATTGCGTTTAATGACGATCTTGATGAGATGTTCGTCTGCCGCGCGGGTGACCCGCAGTGACCCCGGTGTTAACAGCGGGGAATGACGCGAGACCATCTGAAATGTCAATTGGCATTAGTAGCATCGCGTGAACGTCTGGTCGGTATCGCGCCCCACACAAGAGAACTGTTCATTAAAATAATAATCATTCTGGCCCACATCTTCACCCACTACTGCACCACTGTCAGCTGCATCAACCAATCCCTTCCCCCTTAGACGATGCAATTATGTAATGTAAG